GGGCATCAACAGTGGATATGGTTACCAAGCTAGCTAGTTTGATCTGAGACCCAGGTATCCAAAGTAATTATGTTGGTAGTAATGAACACCAAATTTCTAATAGCAGTACCCCTAAATTCAAGCTAGGTTAACTTTCAAAAAACCATAAATGACCTTGATGCTCCAGCCAATGTAACTAGCTGGTATGTTAACAAAAAAATTTAAAATACAGTGAAAACTAGAAATCAGGAGCTCGATCCTAATGGTTCCCAACTAGCCAAAGACTAGTACAAATTCAGTTTTGGCTAGTGGTTTTCGATTTTCACTGGCCAGTTTGGCTAGTAACCAAACTGAAATTGTTGTAACATCTAAGTTGCCACTAGCCACTCGGCTAGTAAGTTGAAAAGTTAGTGTCGAGCCCTGGAAATATATTTCAAGCATTGTTACCATTTGGTCTCAACTGAGCATTTGGCCTCAAAATAAGACCATGTTTGAGGTAAATAATACAAAGTGTTTAGGACACATAAACTGAAAATGCACCAACTCAAAAAAATTACCAACGCTTCCTCTCAAATTGTTTAAATACAGTCGAACTCTTCAAAACTGGATGCCCTTGGAACCAGAGGAAATGTCCAGTTTRGAGGGGTGTCTGGTGTACTGAGGTTTTACCCATAAGGCAATTTTATGCAGCATAATGTATTGTCTGCCTGTAAGTACCAGTATATGGTACACGAGCACTAATAAAGCACATCAGTGAAGGAACTAACAACATGGATCACAAGGAAGCTTTTCAATGTCATTTTATTTAATCTACAAAAAAATTCAGTGTTACACACAGGGTAATATGATCACCGCTTTTAATTCATTTCTAGTCTTCTTTCTTCTTTTAAAGATCACCTACAGTTGATTTACCGATCCCAAATTTAGTGCTTTGAGCCTTCAGTGTTGGTTTAGGCAATGATTCCACGCATTTGATAAACTCAATTCTCTTCTCTTAAGATAACTCAATTCTTTGGCGTTTCACTGGTCTCTCGGACATAGTGATCATGATGTTTGCTACTTCGTTTGTTTTCGCAAGTGATTTCACCCACAACATGACAGTCTCTTAACCTGACCCCTATTGTTGTCATTCATTCAACTTAACAACAGCGGCACGACTGCCGAATTTAGATTTTTTGCTTCAGTACGGATAGAACAATGAGTAATTAGCCGATGCTCGTTTCTCACTTCTGATTGGAATTTCACAGCTGCATGATTACGATTTTAATTTTACTCATGTTTAAAAAATGTCTGATTTGATTTTGGCAGCAAGCTTAAAACTTTCACATCCAGTTTAACGAGGTCAATTTCTTTGTCAGTTTGTGATTACAGACTGAAGAAAGCATCTAGTTTCCAGAAGTGAGGGGTTCCGGTTTATCGAGGTTAAAAATAGATAAAATGTATGACAGAGATTTTGGGGCCAAAAAAAAAGGTCTGGCATAGAGAGGATTCCAGTTTAATGAGGGTCCAGTTTAGAGGGGTTCCACTGTACATGTATCAGACTCTGTCACCAACAAGAGTCCTTTTCAGAACTGCTCTCACCTGCACAACCAGATTAAGAGTCCTTTACTACTTTCCTGCTGTTACAGTGTCTAAAGTGTACACATTCTGATCCAGCATAGAGTAACTTTCTAATACCCACTGGAAGGAGAGGGTTGCTGTAATAACCCTGTCTAGCATGCACCAAACCATTTGTTCATACTTGTTATTTTAAAGTATTTCATTTTGGAAAATAACTCAACCAACCTCCTTTGCATGGAGTCCTATGATGGCTGTGCTGTGCCCTATAACCCTGGATAAGCTCAAATGCACCGTCATCTCGTCTGATAGGAAAAATTACTGAGAGAACATCTGCACAGGGCTTCATAACATCTAAAGTCCCTAAAAGAAAAACAACCAGGAACTCACTTTAAGTTTAATTCATTCACCACAGGAATGGCAGGAGAAAAGAACAGAACTTTCGTTCCAATTGCCCCTAACCCCTTTTTTACCCACCCATCCCACCCCGGGGAGGACATCCATCACACAGTAATCTCGTGTGTGGGAAATTAACGTCTCCAACCCAACCCTGCAGGAGACAGGACCTCCATTTATTGTCACTATCCGAGAAGACTAGAAAGTCTAACTGTCTGCAGATATTATTACAAAGACAGCACTTTCTTCTCAGTCAATTAAAGACCCTGAGTGTTAGTCCGGCCAGATTTGAACTCACGACCTCCCACACAACAGTCCGGCGCTCTACCAATTGAGCTAACCGGGAGGCAGTTAGCTCACTTCAAGTAAGAGTAAATTTGACTGAGACAAATCCTGCATAAGATTAAAACCATTTTAGGAAATTACACCAAAAGTTGTCCTGTTTCAAGATTTTTTTCCAAGTTTTGGCATTTGTGGTTAATTAATCAGCAAGGGATGGGAAGGTAAAAAATGGGGGACATCAAGCTCATTTGGGAGATCAAAGACCAAAGTATTTCAAATCACATATTGAACGCAACTGGTCATGCACCAAAGGCTAAAACACCATAATCATAGTGGACTTAGAATTTTTCATCATCACGAATGTTTTTTACATGAATATGCCAGGATGCCCATATTTGGATAAAACGGAGGAGGGTCGAGGGCGTGAATCCTATGTCATAAAAGCTTCAAGAACCGGTTGAATCAATTTTAGCAAATTCATAAAAAGTAAGGATTTCATTTAGAAAATCTCACTTACTGTACTGAAATAAAACTTCGAAACTCAATTGCTCGCTCTCTTGTCTAAAATGTTTCAAAATCCCAAGCGAAAGTCAAAAGTGAAAGTAAGATAAACGCAATAAAGCTGAGGTCACGTTTCACGATCTAATAAAGGTCTACCGACAATTACCCACCAGTTTCGTCTAGCTGTGGTTCAGATGAGCGAGCTTTAAAAAAAAAAAAAAATCAATTTCATTCTAAACGATCGCACCGTTTATTCGAATGGCGATTGTTCTATCTCCCTGAACTATAACATTGAATAAATAATGTTCCGTTGAGCGACTTAATCTAATTTTGTTGAAAGATGAGTCTCAGCAGCTGGTGGTAATTCACGCGGATTGTTACCTTTTATCCTGTGTTTCTTGTCCTCAAACTTCTCTGTACGATATCCCGGTGGATCAGGCTTGGTAAGTAACCTGTGTTCCACAAATACTCTCGCATTCTCAAAGAAGCCCTCGCACATTTGAGTAAAAGACGGATCCTTTGAATCAGAACTCGTCGACATCTTTTCAACAGCATTTTGAACAGCAGGAAGGCATTTCGCGCTTCTGGCGAGTGCACCTCTAAAAGAGCTAACACACTGAAGACCGAACATTGTAAACTCTAGAAAACACAACTATCTAAGTATTGATATATAAAATCTTTGCGGAACGCTGAACACGTTCACGTCATTCGTCACGTTCGCTGATTAGGCCGCGCTCGATCGATTGTGAGGTGTTGTGAGGTGACTATTCAGCCAATTGGAGACTAGTGCCAGGTTCTTGTCAAACTTCTCACCACGTTTGCAGAACCTACCCAAGAGTCCTAATAAGGAGCTTGCTTCTGCGCTAAAAGAAAATAAACTGAACAAGTTAGGGCAAGAACCATCACGGGACAAGCCGAAACGATATGGAAAAACAAGGAAGAAAATAGTGATCTAGTTTCCCCCTTTTCTTCGTATGGAAAACTTGGGGTGAAATTGAATAAGATTCTTCCTTTTTACTTATCGTATAATTGAATTGAATTTTCGCATTTCAAATCAATTCGCGACAGACGATGACTCAAATCCACCTAGTATTAGAAATAAATTCACGCGTTCCTTAACTTCCGGAGGCACGAAAAGATCTTCGACCCCTGACCAGCCACTGTCCCCACATCACGTTTCGTCTAAAAAAAACTTCTTCTAACTCTTTAAAATGTTTTCTACAAACGGCAGTTGCAAAGCCATGCTTATCCTTAACTTTTAGGTTGTTATACTAGGCAAATTTGATACAACTCACACTCAGCTAGAGTCGCACTCAACTTTTGTAACGTCATTAAAAAGAAAGGAAACCTTGGATATTGGACCAGGCTTCTCACAATGTCTGCTACGCTTGTTTTAAAAAAAAAAAAAACTGAAGACAACTCTTAAAACTTATTATTTTTAAGGACTTTCCTATCTTTGATTGCCCTTTCTCTTTTTCATTCATTTGTGACGAACTGAGGATCTTCATGTGGTATTTTCCATTTTTTGTTTTTACGCGGGAAAATCAATCCGATATCGTGACCTCAATCCCTTTGACAAGTTTATACAGGAAAATTCATAACCTTAACTCGTGAATTCCGCGTTAAATTGCACGCGAAAACACTCGCATGAATCGCGCAGCGATGAGTGCAATGTCAGTTTTCAAGAGCAATTCGACGCGAATTCACTGGTCAAGTAATTGATTTTTCTTGAAATGAATAAAAATAATAAGAAAAAGTAAACAGCAATAATTCTGTTGTTATACCGCGCACGAAACAATATCGCTCAGCCTCGTTTTCAACTCGCAATTCTTCTTGTGTGAGATTATTCAGCGTTAATTGATTTCCGGTTTATTTTTTGCGATAAGTGACACATGATTAAAATGATTTAAAATGAGAGACCAGAGCGCGAGACAAGAACGGTGCGAGGGAGGGGGAGATCAAGTTGGTTTACAAAATAAAACGTGAAGTTTACTCCCATTTCCGACTTCACCCCCTCCCCCGTTACTAATCTCAGGTGGAATATGGTACACCATTCACTTCATTAAAAGTAGGGGGGGTTGTTTCTAGAGAAATTGTAGTGTAGTACAAGATAATCGGGTTTTTATCACCTGAGTTGTGAATTGACCACCGTAAAGTGTTCCGGTTCGTGCGTTACAAAGTCACCTCAGAGCGAGATTACCTCAAAACATAATCAAAGGGTGACGACGGGTGTGAGTTCCAGAGTTTTAAATCACTATCCTAAATCCAACAATTCGCAACAACGATGAGACTTGTATGATCTTTATTTCTTATAAAATTTAGATATAGAATATCTACACATACAGGCGGCTTTAATAAGTCTATCGTAGCCTTCTTCGTAAGAATTTGTTCTCTCCTACAGAACTGTAGTTGTACGCTCTCTACGTTATAAATAGGTATAAAATCTACTATGCTATCGATACTACGAGAGAGATGACAATAATGATTTACTTAGCATATAATCTCGAACTTACATTGAACACACTTTTCCCTGAAAACGATCGTCATAAAATGTTGTCGCGTCTAGAACTAGAGAATAACGTGACAGACTTCCCAACTCACTTCAATGGGATTCAGACGAGGTTTTGAGTGATGCTCATTTCGTAGCCAGTGATGTGTAATCCAAATAAAACTGCGAACTACTCGCAATACTATAAATTAACTCTTTCTCTACCATTTTGAAACATCATGGGCTAAAGGCTAGCAACGACAGTAACAGAAATGCGGCTTTTATCTCATCTTTCCAGATATGCGTTCCTTACGAGTATTTACAAAGACTAGATCATATCTTGATATACATTATTTATAGGTATATAAATACATGTTCACTTTATGTACAGCAAGACAAAAACGCCACCAACCAGACCGCAACTATGCCTAAGAGCTTCTTTTTAAAAGTGAAAGTCGAACGGGGGGATAGACAATTGCACAGAAACCGTCCACAGTCTTCGCCCAAAGTTCTCTTTCCAAGATTTTTTCAGTCACGTTTCATTTCATCTCTGAACTACGAAATGGCTAACTGCACAACATGTAACCTGGAATCAGAATAAATTAAAGCACTCTTCCCGGAATAAAATGCTACCGTATAATCCGAAACAAGTTTCTCAAGGAAAAAGAAAAATGTGATTGAAACAGAATGTCGAGTTCTAGCCCTTTCAACAGAAAAATAATATATATATATATGAACCTAAAAGGAATATTAAGAAAAAGAAAGAAGATAAAAAAAAAATCCACTTTTTTGTGAAAGAGGAGTCACCACTGTTCAATACTACAAGACAGAACCGGTTTGTAACAAAACAAATGTGTAACCTGTATATTAATGTTAATGCAGTCGAACATGACAACAGAAAAAGAGAAATTGGATGGTTGAGGCGTTTGATGAAAGTAGGATTTGAATAAGTATACAAAAGTTCGAGAAATTGTACTAACTGCGACACAGTAAAGACGCTTCGCAAAACAATGCCTTTGCTTGAATTCAGCGAGTCATCAAGAGTCAAGTCCTACTTATGAGTGTGAAAGCATGAAAGTGAAGAAATGAGAAGTACATACTGTTACTGTACCTCCTAATAATAAAAAGAAATTTAAAAAATAGTAAAATATTTCATGCTTGACTGATGTGAATAAGAAAACCGAAAAGTTAAAAAAAAAAAAAATTATAAATAAAAGCTGAGATCCCAAGAAAGAAAGAGAAAAGACCGACTTAGGTTACGTTATTCCACGGAGGAATGTTCTGCACAGGAGATTATGAAACAAGTATCATGCGTAGCCCTTTCTTAATAACTATATACCTAAACGCTATTATTACCACGATAAATCTCATTAACGCATTACTAAATTTTGTTCTAATACTCCTTTCATGGCTCTACCTACATGCAACTAAAATCTATAAATCCCTCTAATTAAAACGAAAAAGAATACTACTACTTCAGTTCTATGCTTGTAGAGTGTGAGGGTACGTGCCCCCTTTTATTTATTTATGCATATATTATAGCATTTACCGAACTAATTCCAAATGTTGGAATGATTAATAATTCTCTTTGTCTTTCACCTGCACCTGAGGATTGCAAGGCGTAATGTAGAGTACTTTGTGTAACTCACAACGGAAATAGTTCCTCTTTCTAGTACTCTGTTTAATAAAATTTGCAGCTTGAGTTTGACCCAAAATCACAGCTTCCTTATCACTATAACTACACCACCACAATAATATGGCTTTCAATACATAACCTGTAAAAAAAATCACAAATCGCCAAGATCTTCAGGATAAAAACTGCCGTAACTAAGAAATTTTCCCTTGCTCTTTATATCAGATTAAAGTAGGAAACGAAACCGAATTGATGGATAAGAAAAAAAGAGTTACTCACAAAAGTATGAAAATTGAAAAGAACTTACACACAAAAGTAAGGACAAAACTTCACTAGAAAAACTGAAGAAAAGATTCCAAGTAGTAACGTATCGTAATGGTTAACTAAGTAAACTTGAGAATATTTGTACTATACAAAACAAAAACGTAAAGGTCTTGCAACCTACCCCCTTCAGTACAAATTACTCGTTCTACTTTCAAGTACAGCAAACTAAAAAATTTCTAGCATGGCTCTTTCCTATTGACCAAAAAGATCACCATCACAAAGCTACTCGAACATGGACAAGATATCTTCGCTGGGAAGGTCGGACGGCGTCAGATAATTGAAAAGCTCTTCTGGGTCGAGGGTTCCTGGTAAAACCTACAAGATAGTGATCGTACACAATGTCAAAACACGATGCATGGCCAATGTTACCCCCCCCCCCCCCTTAGCCCTTCGTATGTGTAAGTAGCACTGGCAAACGACGAAAATTACCCGTTTTGGTACGCACGTACATAGATGGAGCAAGAACTCGTGCCAGTAAGTCGAGCAGGCATAGAGAAAAAGCCAACCACATATCAAAGGTTTGAGAAGTTCAGGGCATAACAACGATTTCGGCTCACAGCTGTCAATGTAACATTAACAGCACGTTCAACAAAAATAATAGTTTATATAAAGAAGAGTCCACTTCCCCGACCCGACTTTCTTGGTATCAACTTACGTCTAAAGCGCCTTCCACTCCATCGGTTCCCCCGCCATGATCTTCCAGGACACCAAAGTTAAACTCGTCCGGAAGATTGTCGTGTTCGAGGTCGGCCGCAATGCTATCAGCATTCCCTGACACGGGAGGCTGGGGAAGGTTTGATGAGTGCTGCGTTCTTTCAGCAGCACCTTTTGGATTTGTATGACTCCCTGGAGTTTGGGGAGTGGCGGGACCTCGAGTGTGATTGCTGTTTTGCGTTGTGGCTTGACTAGTGACTGGACTGGGTGTCATCTTTTCACCTGAGGAAGTATAAGGAAGAAACTCTTGAATTACAATGCGATTGCGGGTTGAAATGAAAGGCAAAGTACCACAAAAGCGTATACAATAAATGTTTTCCTGAAAGCCATAATACTCAGTCACTCACCACTGGGCGTGGATGCCGCTGGTTGCGTCGCTCCAGAATTGCTGGAGTTATGCTCTTGCAACTGATTTCCACCTGATGAGTTGTGAGACTCAGGAGGTGTCCGTCCAGGGGGAGTGGGTGCACCCATACCGGGGTTAGACGGTGGCTGAGTTTGATATGGCGAATAGTGTCCACTACTGCTGGACATCTGTGATGTAGGCGTCCTAACACCAGACAGTGGTAGGGAGTCAGGTGGAGACGGTCGAGCCTTCTTGGCTGGTTGTGGTCCTTGGCATTCGTCATCTTTTGGTTCTTGTTTAACAGGAACAGGCTTCCACTGACTGTTTGGATCAATTGTTACTTCTTCCACATCACTACTGAAATAGGAAGGTATCACTATGGTTAATGTGGAGTGCTCTATAATCGACATATCAGTTGTATCTAAATTATTACTACCTTGAGGATTTCGATTCAAATTCTTCGAAACGATAAATAAAATTCTTTCTACTTGTAAATTCGGATTTATGTCTCTGTAAAAACTCTGCACGCTTCCTATTTCACGTAAAATGGTAACTATAGCAACCACCTGGAAGTTGTAAGGATGCCCCACATAAACTGATCCACTTCAAGTCCTTCAAGAAGTGCAACTTTGCTGTAAAATGAAATAAGAAGAATTAGATTAAGTTCAGAGTTTAAAAAGACAGTAGGGACATCAAAGTTAGAAAAATATCAAGCAATTAAAGTCCTTTACAATTGCCCTATCACTTCTCCTGAGTTAGAACCTTCAGAAAACCACTCGTGCATACGAATCCCAGACTGAATTGATACACATTGAATTTGATCACGACGAAAAACTTTTTGAATCATGCACATGACTGTTTTCGAAAATTTGCATCATATTCAAAGGTAACTCGATATGTAAGTTTAAATTGATAAGATTGCTACATAGAGAATGAAAAAGATTTTATTTCTCACCGAAAGAACAAGAGAGTAAAAGGTCAACAACAACAAAAGAAATTAACTCACCTACAAACTGGACATTTCCAACTTCCTCTTTCACAGTTGAGTCTTAGATAAGATTCCAGGTCGAAACACTACAGACACAAAAGATAGAGGGTTGCATATTCAGTGAAGTGGACGACGCTGTTTTAATTAACTTTACGAGAAGTCGCTGTCTGGTATCCCAAGTCTTAAAAGTGGTAACCAAAATATCTAACTTCAATTTTACTTCGGTCTCAAGGTATATGACTTGGTGTCATATCTGATACACACGCATGCATATGTTCCTGCTGCCAAACGGTATCACCACCCAACTGTTTACTGGTAATTCTGCCTTGAACTACATTTGAAATTACATGGTTTTCAGGAGTGACTGGCTTCTAATTTCTTCATACAGTATTGTCCTTGACTCAAATATAGAGTTCATGAGAATAAAGGAAACGATCACCAATTTCAAATGCTCCTGATTTCCAATCGAAGTCCCCTTGTCATTACCATAAGGAAATGTAAAGGGAACAAAGTAAAAAAAAATTATGAATACTAATTTTGGGATATTAAAGGCTAGGCAAAAACCTGTACGCATACCATACACACACTTGTACGTGTCAAGCGTATACCTGAATATGTTTACAATCATGGCCTCTGGCTGGTAACGTTATTCTTCTGAATGTGATGGGACATTTAAGTGATACTTTGATAGCTGTTTGTTCCACACTGTCATCTGTGCCGCCGGCAGATGACGAACTAAACGAGAAGTTTCTTTTAACTATGGATCAAAGATAATTATTTGAATCAGTATAATAATAATACTTGACAAAGAATGCATTACTTGATGCGAGCCTTTCAGCTCTAAAAACCAGTAACAAGCTCTACAAACAAAAATTGGGTCAAACAGTACTACGTGTAGCATTACTCACTTTTTGTGATACAATGTTCTGCCGGAAGAAGTCTTTTTCGTAACAAGCTCTGTAAAACGGAGCTAACTGAGGGTCTATGGACCAACTGGAGGACGAATAGGTGGGACTGAGAGGGAAAATGTCAAACATAAGCTTCATCGGTAATAATGCTAATCGCATTAAAAAGAATACCACATGATAGAAATGTTGAAGTTACTCACGCAGCAGCAAGCTGTAACTGTTATCTGTATAGTGTTCCTTCCTGGTTTACAAACATTCTTCAAATGAAGAGGTTTATGCGAAGTTTTATTGTCTCCTTGCTGTAAAAGAAATAGATAAATTTTAAAATATTATATATTTATTTCATAACACTGTGAGTTTTATCCAAACATCACATTCATACAAGGGTTTACTTGGTTTTGGTTAATAAAACCACCAACGAAGTATACATGGAATACACATCTCAACATGGAATGCTTTTTTTCAGTAACACATTCATAAAAAGATTTTAAAAAATTAATATTACTGCTGTTCTTTACTCACCCTCTCAATAATAAGGGGGTTGGCATTCACGCTGACAGTCACAGACTGTGGCCAATTTGTATACATCTGTTTATCTTCATGGTGGTAGCATTTGAACTGAAGCTCAAGATCAGGTCTGGCAAGGAAAAAAAAAATCTCATCAAATTTTCACATTCACGATAATCTCACTATTTTTTCTTAAAAAAGACCATCAGTATATTCTATTTCTCTATAAAACACCCACTGTTCCTCATGTGCCAAGCCTTGCATTTAATTCCTAGGATAAGCACTCCATACTGAGCCTTTTCAACCTTTAAATTCTCGTGATCTAAATGCCAATTCTTCCCAACCATACAACATGAAAATTTTGCTGGTTTTTATATGAAGGGTAGCCCTTGATTGACAGAAACATGTTCCCACATCTAAACTAAACAACCCGCCCCAACCCCCAAAGTTGAAAACATTACACATTTCCCAAGTAATGTTTTCATGCTCAATCAGAAAATAGTAAAAATTATTTTCCTACAGAATTCCAATTCACCTCAAACCACAAAACTTTTTTCCCTCAAACAAAAGAAAAAAAAAATTGCTCATTCACAAAATAGAAGTCATATGAAATTTTCATGCCACACCAGAGTCGATTATTCTCCGCAGTCAAATTTTTAATCTATTTATTTGCTTGACACTGTCCCAAAATTGAAAGAAATTCCAACATGGTAACTCCAGTAAGTCAAAAGAGGGTCAAAGAGGATAAAAAAAAAATGAGAAATTAACAATAAAAAGAGTTACCTCATCATTAGTGTCTGATGAACAGAGTCTCTGAGATGGAACACATGATTACTGACAGCCAGATTATGCTCCAGTCTGAATGGGGCCAGAACTATACCATCTCTTACAGGAAATGTTAATCTTATCACATCATTTTCACCTAATGACAATAGAGAAGAATAAATGTAGAATGGTATTTTTTAAGGACTGATCTGCAAATTACCCTTTCCTAGTGTAATCCTGAAGAAGCAACAAAAGATTTAATGCTACAATGTAATTGCAATTCTTTGAAAGCCCTACAGTTAACTGCAAATCAAGTAAGTGCCGCTAGACATCAACAGAATTTATTAAACTCACAATAAGAAGAAGACCATAGGGAGTATTCAAATACAGTATAAGTTTAATGATGTGGTACGGCAGTAATTCAGTCACCTTTGCACAAATGCTCAGTGTAAATACATGCAAAACTTAAAAGGTTGCTTAAATTCTACCCAACTATTCCAAAGGAATTGTTGTTAACTGATAATCCTTGACCTGCCAGTAGAGACAACTGCACTGGGACTATGAAATGTTGTTATTCAAACAAACACAATTCAATGGGGATCAATTTGTAAAACAAGCAGGGCTTGACACTAACAGTAGCCAACTAGCCACAAACTAGTAGAAATTCAGTTTTAGCAAGTGGTTTTCGATTTCCACTGGCCGGTTCAGCTAGTAAACAAACTAAAATTGTTGTAACATCTAAGTTGTCGCTAGCCACTTAGCAAGTAAGTTGAAAAGTTAGTGTCAAGCTCCAACAAGGAAGAATACAATATGAGACATATTCCAAACATATTCTAAACTCTTTCAACCTCATTCCAGTCCACTTACTAGTTAACCTTGGAGGTTTGACATCCTCATAAGCTTGTGGTGAAGCAGTGTTAGGAACCACCTGGGGTTTGATGTCATAGCAGTTTGATGGATTCAGGGCAGCATCAGTGATACTCATGTAAGGGCTTGGCATTGCTACTGGTGTGACTGGGGGTGACATGGCATTTGCCATGGTTGCATTTGGGTACTGGGGTGCACTCTTGCGTCGTCTCTGCATGGGGCGTGGCCCCTGTTGCGGCAAATGAGGGCCATACATTCCTGGTTGGGGTACCTGCCCCACTGAGGGCAGCTGGGGACCTTGTGGTACTTGTGGCACTTGGCTCATAGGACTCATTTGAGACATCTGGTTCACTGGACCTATCGGAGGCATCTGTGGTCCCATCTGTGGACCCATCTGTGGTCCAATTGGCTGGTTTAGATGTCCCATTGATTGGTTGACTGAGTTTGGCTGCATCATGTGTCCCATCTGTTGGTTCATCTGTGACATGGGGCTCATACTTGGTGTGTAAGGTGGAGGAGGTGTTGGTTGTTGTTGGTAACCAGCCTGTGCTGGATAAGAAGAAGGCATCTGATAGCCACCCTGTTGCTGCAAAGAAAAAAAATTACTGAATGGCTTTACTGCACAAAAGACCAACAATCATAGCATTGATGGTTAGCACTTTCTATCTCTTTTTTTCCTGTAACACCCTTATGGTCCACTGAACTTGAAAACTGAATAATCATTCTCACACTCAAAAGGGGATAAAGGAACAATCAAGGAGACAGAAAGAAATTTTTTATATACATCACGAAAGGCTGGATAAAATACAGATTAAAATAGTTTGTGACTTATGCTATCAAACATTAAGCAGTGAAAACTGGTAAAACACTTATGTTTATTTCATTCGTGTTATTTCTCAAAGCTAAACTTGGTGTACAGGGAGCAGCTCCATCACCAAAAAAAATTTAAGAGGCCTTTTCTAAAACAATTCAGTGTGTGTTTGTACCCAAGGACACTTCTAAAAGAGAAAAATACTTAATTATATACAGTAGTTGAAAGTATGCAGGAGACACAATAGTTAAGAGGTACAATTATGCCAAATAATGTACAGTCATATACCACTAGAAATGGAGTTTCATCATCCAAAGCACTCTACAAGAAGTCAAAAAAGGTGCATCTTACCCCATATTGTCCTGCATACTGCTGCTTGTAATGTTGCTGCATCTGCTGTTGCTGTTGTTGCATTTGCTGCTGGTGCTGCTGTTGTTTTCTCATCATGTAATCCTGTAAATATTGTGTGCGGCTCATCCCTGAATTGGGTTTCTGCATTCCCTGCTGGGCACCAGGTTGTTGCTGCTGCTGTTGCCCAAATGGCTGTGGATACTGGGGAAAGCTATTACTTCGCTGATATGGTGGGGGAGGATGTTGAGGATGGCTGGCTTGATTGGGACCATATTGACTCTGCCCAGGAGGGAAAACATAATCTGTAGGGAAAATGCACAAAGGATTGCAAATTCAGAAACTATAAAAAGAGGGCACAAGTGGAAATTGAAAAACATCACCTTCTAAAGGCCTCTTTGAGCATATCATCATAAAACTGTAATCATTATAAAAACAGATCTTCAAATAAATTTAGTCAAGGGGTAATTCAAGGAAGAATGGCTGACACCAAACCCAAAAGAAACATCCTAAATAAAGCACTCTGCAAAAACAATGCAAATCAAACTTGCAAAGAGTGTAGATACTCTTTGAAAGGAGGGCAGCGGAGGGCAGCGTGGCCGAGTGGTCAGCGTGTCGGACTCGCAATCCTTCGCTCCCGGGTTCGAGTCCCGCCCTGACCACTACCTGAATTTGTTTCACGGTGGCTCCGAGTTCAAATCCTTGGCCATGCTTGTAAATAGCCAATTGGTTTGCCTCCAGCCAGTTGGGATTCTTAACAATGTTATGTTCAATTTGAATTATTTGTTTATAGCCCACAACATAAGAAGTCATATGAAATTTTCATGCCATACCAGAGTCGATTATTCTCCGCATTCAAATTT